TGAGCGAGCAAGTCGTTTTTTTTTTATTTTTTTTTTTTCCTGCTTTGTAATTGCGCGTCCGTCCTTTCATTCGTTCGTTCGCGCGGCACTCCTAAGACATGAATACTCGGTACAAATTGTACAACACGCTGGCCGGAACACCGACGACGGCGGCGATGATGACGAGGTAGACGATGGTGGCGAAAACCCTCTCGGTCGGGGTCATCACCGTCATCCCACACTCCGCGGCCAGCTTGGAGAGGAGGGAGCCGAGGTAGCTCTTGGATGGCACCTGGCGACGGGGGACGTCATCGTACGTCTTGGAGAGATCCGGGGGAGGGTCCTTCCGCCCGACGCCGTTGTCAGCCACAGCCGAGGGCGAGGTGCTCATCCGCCGCAGGTATTCACTCAGAAGCAGGTCCGACTCTCTTCTTTTTCTCCCCTTTTTTGCTTTGTTTCTTTTTCTTTTTGCTTGCTTGCCTCCGTTTGCCTGCCTGCTCGAGAGGGGAGGAGGTGGAAGCGCGGGGGTCGTGGGTCTGCAGGAGGTTTCTTTGCGGACAAGATATCCCAAGCCTTACGTTGCCTACCAGACAACGAGCAGAATGAAAAGGAAGGCGCCTGTGGCGGCTTCCCTCACGTCGCCCATGCCCGACTCAAGGCGCTCATGCCAGCGGCCAGTGGCGAACTCAAGGCAAACACGCACGAACCACAGTTGCCAAAAAGCACCGACGGGGCGGAGAGACTTGACAACGGCCGCGTTTAACCCGCCCCTCGCGCCGGGGGGCAGGTTGGGCGGTGCCTTCAAAAAAACCGCCCCTGGCGCAGTTTGCATAGTGGCTGCACTGAAACAGACGAAGCGTAACAATTTGAATTTATGGATGCATAAATATATATATATATTCTAGGCACATAACTTCTTCACGGCTTGGCCGTTCCTCTCACAGCCTCTCAGAAAGCGCGTAGCGTGCACCCATTAGACCGCGCAACCCAGACAGAACAAACTCCCAGACGCAAGGTAAACCCGAATAAAAAAGAAAACAGAAGAAGCCCATGTGAAACAAAAAAGAAGTCTTTTTTTTTTTAAGTGTATACAACT